GCTCAGGATTGCCCAGTGAAGATCTGTCTACGTTAAGCTTAACAAACACTGGCGGCGAAAGCTCCTAACAAATTGCCAATCCTTGCAATCTTTTTGGGTACTGACTAGAAGATATAATCCCGCGAGCAACAAGTAGATTGTCCTCCTTTGTCATAGCAATAAAAGGATGAACTGCTGCTTCAGACAAAATCAAAGCCTAAAAGAAAAAGACTACTTGGCTGACTGACACCAGGACTCCTTCAAAGATCCTTTTGTTCCCTGCTTTCCACAACTCCCAGCAAATAAAGGATGGAATCATTTGCATTATCTCCCCCATGGCTGAGGATGACGTATGACTCCACCAAAGCTGAAGTTTACCAAAGATGTCCGGATTTGTTGAAAGAGGAATGGATAATAATTCTTTAAAATGCTACCAAATAGCTACAGCAATGGAACACTAAGAAAAATAATGAGAGAGTTCATCCTCATGTTCACAAAATGGACATTTTGATGGTAAATTGAAACCCTGAGACACTAAAACATCAGAGAATGGAAGTGCAGAATTAAGTAATCGCCACATGAATATAGAGACTTTACTAGGCATGCGCAAGCTCCAAATCATTTTTCGCGACACCAAAACAGCATGCTTTTTCCTGACAATATTGTAGGCTGACAAAAGAGAAAAATCACCAATAGGCATTGGTTTCCAAGCTAGCTTATCACAGCCAGCAGTAAGCAAAAATTTGGAGCTCAAAACTTTGTTTTGTTCTTGCAATGACAAAGAACCTGCCATATCTGTTAAAAGCCAGGTACCATTCTTGAACAAATCCCTCAACTGAAGATGCTTTCCTGGAATATGCAATTTGTCCTTAGCAAGACAGCCCATACCAGCCCAATCTTCATACCAAGAAGATCCATTACCTTGAAGAATCAGCAATTGCATTTTATCCTCCACCATTTGATGAGCCCCCAGCATTCTCTTCCATACCAAAGAATCGCTTTGTTTCAACTGTATGCAACATGGATGAGGGACATGTGAACCATATCTTGAAGCAAAATATCTAACCCAAAGTTGCAAAGACGTTCTAAAATTCCACCAGAGTTTACAACTAAAGGTTGCGTTATATCTGAAATACTTCGAATGCCTAGACCATTTTCGTCTACTGGACATGAGACTTTTTGCCCAGACATCCAGTGACGTCTAGTAGAGCCTTCAAACTCCCCCCCCCCCCACCAGAAGAAATCAGCCATAATCTTCTCAAGCTAGCGAATGATTGCCTTAGGAGGCTCCCTTACTGCAAGGGTATGAATTAGAATTGCAAACAACACGTTTGATAAGAATCAATCGACATCCAGGGGAGAGCAGCTTAGTTTTCCACCCAGCAAGCTTCTTGTTGAACTTATCGACAATGCAGTTAAAATAATCACTTTCCGCCTGCCCTTGTTAAGATTACATCCCAAGTCGACAAAAGGGAATTCTTCTTTGTGATACCAGAGATGTAGGTAATAGAATGAAAAAGTCCAAATGCTTTGACGAGTGATCTGAAAAACATCTGTTCAAATGATGAATTGATGATTGAGAAAACCAACGCTGCCTGCTACTATTACATAGCACTCTATCCAAACGCTTCCAAATGCACACATCAAGCCTAACTCCAGTCCATGTATATTTACCACCCACAGCCGAAATTTGTATGAAGCAGTCAGTATAGAATTGTTAAAATTCGCTATTGCTTGCAAATCCTGAGGTGCACGGCCAGAGTATTCCTCCAAAGAGGATATAATGTTAAAGTCCCCTCCAACTACCCTTGGGCGATCACCAATCAATGAAGCAATATGAGACAAACATAGGCAATGCCGTTCAACTGGCGTACACTTCGCATGAACTAAGGTAGGCAAATGCAGCTTCACTCCAAGAATCATGGGATATTGCAAGGCGTATGAACTGCTCATTATTACCGATTGAGGAAGCATGGAAACCCAGCTTCCAAAAAGTCCAAATTTTATTTGATATATTAAACAAACCAAATTCACCACCAACTTCTGTTGAAATTCTAGAAAACTAGAAGTATCAATCATAGGCTCTAAAACTACCAGCAAAGAAACACTATGGATAGAAAGCAATTTTCTAAGACGCTGCAAAGAAGAGTGATCAGCAATTCCTCTAAATTCCATATAAGACTACTAATCATTAAGACAAGAAAAAGGTAAGTTCTTGAGGAGCCTTAGAGGCTTGATGAGTAAGGACCGTTCTTGGCAAATTTAAATACCTCCTTTGCCAAGGTTTTTTAGCTGTGGAGCAAAGAGGCTGATCATCCTTAACTGGGGGAATTCTACCGGATATTTCATCTTGGAAAGCTTTAAAAACCTCTAGCAAGGAGGGTGAAACTGAAGCTTGATTTGGCATCTCATCTGAATCTGAAAACAAATCTCCTGCAAAATTCATAGAAGGCTTGGACCGACTGTCAATGCAATGATCATCATTTACTCGATAAGACAAATTATTGTGGGATGGAATATGATCCAAAGACAGACTGATGTTAATCATGATATAGGGACACATGGATGTCTTCACGGTCAACCATTTTAAATTGGTCCACCAAATCTAAACCAACATTCTTGTCATACATAGAAACTTGTTTAGGCATAACATCCTCCAGTAACAAAGGATCCGAGCGAGAGGCCGAATTTACAATAGGAGATTTGCCCTTTAACATCAAAAACTCATCCGTCTCCAAGCAGCCACTGGGGTTTAACAAAGGGACATCATCTTGTTGATCTAATTTGGCATCCTTCGCCTGATCAACCTTTGGAATATAAATTTTCTGGATTCCATGTCGCCGTTCAGAAACCTTTTTTTGAGGCTTTGGAACCCTCATCTGTGGAAAGTTTTTATGACAAGAAGGCTCATTATGGCCAATACGACAACAGAAATGACGAAAAACTGGCATATTTTCAAATTCAACGGCTTGCCACGAGCCCCAATTATCATCACCAATCCAAATTCTTTGTCTTTTGCTCCATCTTAATATCAATTTCCACTAGAATGCGAGTAACAGATGGGCATTTGAGGGACAAAGTTACATCGTCAATTTTGAGCAGCCTACCAAAGAGACTCCCCAATTTGTGCAAGTATTTAGGAGAGAAGAAAGGCAAAAGCAAACCGGGCAAATTAATCCATACTGGCACTAGCGAAGAGTCTTGGTCTAGTCGGAAATCAATTGTCCATTTTGATAAAACCATGGGCATATTGTCGATGCACCAAGATCGAGGCACCACAGTCTAGTAAAATCTTCAGCCAAGACTGGCTGAAGAAGAATATGTTTCTGATCTAACAAGTCTACAGGGCAATCACCTTTAAGGCCTACTGAGGTAATGAAGTTTCGGATTATCACCATCGATGGCCTTCCAGCCGCAAATCTTCCCACTAAAGAGTTTGAAAGGCTGTGAAATTGCAAGCACATCCTAACGAGAAAGTTGTAAAGATGGTTCACCTCTGTACATTGCAATGCACCCGACACCAGCAGCATCAGATGATGAAGAAAGACCTAAAGCACAGGAGCAAAAGATCGTTTTCCTGGTGCAGGTGGTTGTTCAGTCAGCGACTGATCTCCAGGTGACTGAAGAGCCGCCATGGGCGGCGGATGTTTAGTGTTCAAAATTCAAAATTCAAAGCAGTAAGAAGAAGAGAGAGAGATTGTGGGCCCATTTGAAGCAGCAAAATTTTTGAAATATTCCATTGAATTGCCAAGCCATCCTTATGTTGATATTTATCTTCATTCAACATTATCCACTACTAATGATAATAGATATATATATTAGGAAGTTTTTAAAATATATCACTATAATAAAATTTTTGTTTTAAAAAAAAAACACTCCTAAAAATACCCATTTCATAGGAAGTCTAAGTTTTATAAAAATATATACATCCTAAAATACGCTCATTTCTTTTTTTTTTTTTCTACCACCACCATCCTTAACCATTTCCATTCTTGCTAGCGCGATCCCCAATTAATCCCACCACTATTGTCACCACTCTCTCTTTTCCTCCTCCTCCTCCTCCTCCTCCTCATCACTACCCCCTTCCCCACCACCACTTGCTACTCTCTCCCACTCTCTTCCTTTTTCCTATTCTAATCTCTCCCTCATCCTCTTTTCCTTTGCCCATTCCCACTACATCTTCCCCCTCTTCCCATCCAAGATCAAATCATGAGAGGAGGGTGGAGGGAAGGGGAGAAAGGAAAGGAAAGGAAAGGAAAATAAATGGGAGAGAGAAAGAAGAGAAGGGGAAGAGACAGGGAGGGGGTGGTAGGTGGTGGTAGGGAAGAAATGGCGTAGGTGGCATGTAGGGGAGGGAGGAGGAGAAGGGGAAAGAGAGAGAAGGAGAGGGAGGGGAAAAAATAGGAGAAGAAAGGGGGTGGTGGTAGTGGCAATAGGAGAGAGAAGGGGCAGGGGAAGGGGAAGTGGAAGTGGGTGGCAGGCAAAAGAAAGAGGAGGAGGAGGGGTGGCCGAGGGCGGGGGTGTGGGAGAGAGGCGGTAACAGGCGAGAAGGGTAGTGGTGGTTAATTGTAAGTGTCATATCCAAGATGAGTAGCGTTATGGGTGGCACGTGAAATGTGTTGGAATTTTACAAATATCTGCCAAATACATCTAAATATACAAACATTATTTTTTAAAAATTCTATAATAAACTACGGTATAAAGTTTTAGACACACACCATTCAAATGGATCCATGATTAACTCTGGCAATAACATTGCCCTAAATGAAAGTATAGTTGGCCTACATCAGAGTAATCTTCTAGTAATTGGGCTTCCCTGACCTCCATTCAACTCAATATCTATAGGGGTGGGTACGGGTCGGATACCCACTTCGAACAGCAAATGGTTGACTTGATCCTAATATATTGGATCACTATTTTTTTGGCCCTAAACCGCTTTGCTTGTTCTCAAGTACTTGATCCTCGTGTACCTGAAAAAAAGGGGGTCATAGGATACCCGCTCCTAATACCAATGAAAAAAATGACAGCTTACTAAGAAACATTGCATTGAATCCAAAGACGTCCTAGGTTTAAGAAATTCTTTGGGCATCAAATGCATCGCCCTTCGCAATTGTTACAAAGCAGGATTACATATCCTACTTCAATACTAGTCATGACTTAAGAGAAAAGGAAATTCAGTTTCAGAATTTTTCTAGAGCTCGAAGGGTAAGCCATCAAAACTGGCATTAAACAACCCAATCATAAAAACAATGAGATATCTTGTAGTATGTTTGCCGTTGTCGGTGCAGTACTATGGATACCTATTTATCTTCAGATAATCCTGCCTGTTGCAGCAAGAATTTTGGGGAGGCCTGTTCATTTCCTGAAAAGGGAAAGAATGGGAATTGGAATGGCCCTGTCTTTTCTAGGCATGATAGTGGCAGCAACAGTGAGCTAAACGACGTAGTCTGGCTATCAGGGAAGGATATTCAGATGCTTCAAATGCAGTGGTGGACATGTCAGTACTTTGGCTTCTTCCCCAATTTTTCCTGATTGGCGCTGCTGCAGCTGCAAGTGCAACTGCACAAACTAAGTTCTATTATTCTAAGTTTCCAAGAAGCATGTCAAGTATATCTTCCACTCTTTGCTTACTTGGGATATTTGCCGCAAATCTTGCAGCAAGTTTTCTTATGAACTCCATGGACAAACTCTCAAAACGAGGAGGAAAAGAGAGCTGGATTTCAACCAACATCAATAAGGCTTCTGCTTGAGGCTTGAGGAATCGAAGGTCATTGTTGAATCTTCTGCAGGTTAAGGTCTCTGTTCAAAACAAATTTCTTGGAAGATTCATCCCATTTACCTGCTTGAGTTTTGAGAATCTTTTGCAGCTTTTTTGAGCTCAAGTTGAGGTGAAACAAAAATTGAAGAGAAGGAGACTAGGAGAGGATGTGTCGGTTGTCGGCTCATGGCTGAAGAGTACAAGGAGAAAGTTTTGGAAAGTGAAATGAAATCGATGGACTCATTTAGGCTCTAGGGTTAATAACTTGAGAAAATTGTAAAATTGTCCCTATATTTTTTAAAATTTATACAATATACCTCGAGTAGGGTACCGACGGGTTTTTATTTTTATGATCCGTATCTGTATCCAAATATTACGGGTACCCAACCCTCATCTGCTCCACTGATAAAAATCGGATCAGATATCCTAAATTTTGGTGCGGATCAGATCGGATGACTCGGGTTTTCGAGTTGATGGGTTTTTTGCTCACCCCTAAATATCTATACAGTATTAGTACTTTCCAGTAATTTTCCTTATGTATTATGTTGTCAGACTTTGTAGTTGCATTCATCTTGTAAAGTGTGTAAATTTTCAAATTTGAAGTTAGTTTTAGATTGAGCATTATATGTAACACTATCAAAAATTAAAATTTGGAGAGTCTCAACTTCGATCACCATCACCATTACAGGATATGCTCTTGGTAGTGACGGAATCCGAATTTTAATTCATGGGGACAAAGATCTAACATATGATAATAAAAATCACAGTAGCCAATGCTGCATGATCAACTCAAACCTAAAAATTAAGAAGACTATAAACCATCAATCCTATATTTTTAATGATAAAACAAAAAATTTTTAAGCAGGAATAAAAAAATTGCAATTGAAGTATGGAAAACTTCAAATACTTGGAAACACAACAATGGAGTTAGGAAAAAGATAGATGCTAGAAAACACATAAAAAATTATTGCTTTTTTTGGGTTTTTTAGTAACACTATTTCAATTTGTAAAACTATTATAGTGGTTAAATTTCCTTCTATTTCCATGTGTCTGCTTATTCTATTTTATGTTTGGTTTGGTTGATGGCCATTAAAAGAGGTTTCAGGTATTAGTTCTTTTTAAAAAGTTTAATGAACTTCGAAAAATATATGTATTCATATAATAAATAAATGTAAGCTAAATGTGTTAACGAATGATCATTAGACGCCAGTTAGAAAAATTCTTTTAAGTTATATTTATCATTTACAAGGAAATTCAAATTTTGGTTTAATTGTGTAAAAGACTTGTGTAGAAAGAAATTAAAGGTAACAAGAAATAACTTGGAAAAAAATGTGTTGAAACTAAAAGCATATTCGTTATATGAAACTTGTACAAAGAAAAATTAAAGGGGAGAAAAAAGAGACAACTTTCCAAAAGATACTGTTTGAGAACAAAGCACGAAATTTAAGTAAAAAGGTCCTTATCCTTCACAGAGGCCACTTTCTAAATGATAAAGAACTAACTTTGGAAAAATGTGTTGAAACTAAAAGTTAGGAATAGGGAGAAATTAAAAGCGACAAGAAATAACTTTCTAAAAAAAATGTTGGAATAGGCAAAATATGTAATATGACTAGGGGAGTCCTAATTAGAGTATGCTATTTATGGCAAAAAAAAAGATCCTCAATCTCGTATAACTTCTAAAAAGTGTTTAAGAGACCATGGGTTATTTATAGGGGTATTTACATATTACTCATCAACAAATTTCTTACATTGACAATAGGATTTGAACACATGAACTTTTCATATGAAAATGGTCCATCTTTACAAATTGAAATGCTCATTATCTGACTTTGTTTTCGCAACAGATCTTCTGTCCCACACCCTGTGCCACTCTCTGTGCCACTTTTTATTATATTGCTATTTCTCCTATATAAACATCACATTTTAGTTTTTTTTTATTTCTTTAAGATCCAATAACTATTAATTGAGTAAAATATAAATAAAGTAGCTTCAAAAAGCAATATATAATAGAAAATTAAAAAATACAGCAGAAAATTCATAAAAAATCTCATTTTTTATGCATTTTGGTTTTTTGAGTTTGTTAAATATTGTGTATTACTCAATTAATAGTTATTGGATCTTAAGGAAACAAAAAAGAACTAAAATGTGATGTTTATATAGGAGAAATAGTAATATAATAAAAAGTGGCACAGAGAGTGGCACAGGGTGTGGGACAGAAGATCCGTTGCGCTTTGTTTTGGCAATAACAAATAAAAGGTGAGAATCGCAGTGAATCTTCTGTCCCACTTCCTATACCACTCTCTATATCACTTTTTATTATATTACTATTTCCTCTTTATCAACATTATATTTTAGTTCTTTTTTATTTTTTTAAGATCCAATAACTATTAACTGAATAAAAAATAAATACAACAGTTTCAAAAAAGAAATATATAATAAAAAAATTTAAAAATACAGCTAAAAATTCATAAAAAATCTCATTTTTTACGCATTTTGATTTTTGAGCTTCTTAAATTTTGTGTATTACTCAGTTAATAGTTATTGAATTTCAAAGAAACAAAAATGAACTAAAATATAATATTTGCGAAGAAAAATAGCAATATAATAAAAAGTAGGACAAAGAGTAGTATAGTAAATAGGACAAAAGATCCGTTGCGAGTAAGATTAGTCTAATTTACCCGTCATTTATATGTTGTGAACGAGAAGGTCCAAATGATTCACTATCTCATTAAAACACAAACTCCTAGTAGGGGGGCCAAATGTCCCTTATTATGTCACACACAAGCAAGTAGCAAGCGTGAGGACAACAAAGAAATCAAAGTAGGGCATAGAATATGCAATCAAATCCAAGTCTATCCAAAGTTAAGGATAGGCCTCAATTACAGATTGAACAGCTTGGATGTGTGTCATAGTGTGTCTGCTGAATCCAGCCTTGTTCAGAATATGTGCCCATTCCTCTGACGTTCTTTCTTTTCCTGTGGTTGTATGAGCCATCATCACCATATCTAACATCAAACCCACGTCTTTAAGCTTGCCGTCTCCTCCTTCATGATCTATCACAGCCTCTACGATGATCACTTTCCCCGTGTCTTGAGGAATAGCTTCTTTGCAGTTCATCAATATGCTGATACATTCGTCATCTCCCCAGTCATGCAACACCCACTATATATATCCAAAACAATAAAGTCAAAGGTGGTGCATACCCAAAAATAAGCTATAATGAACAAAGCATGCATATACTTGCAAATAAATTAACTGGATTAAAAAAAATAGAAAGAGGAAGAAGAAAAAGAAGAATTGCAATTGAGCATGAATTTTTTAACTTGATTCTTGCTGAACAATACACACGCAGGTAGCTGCACAGTGCTACAATTAACTGGCATAAATTAAGGAGTTAGTAGAATTATGGTAAGCTCGGTAGCCAATTATCTAGATAGCTTAATTAGACACACTAAAGTCAATATATTTTCCAAATTGCCAGATTGTTAACTTGATGCATGCACTCTCAAGTCTCAAGTCGCTCAGTATTTAACTAAATTTATAAGATCAATATTTGCAAATTAGCCTGGCACTTGGACATTGCATCATATTTCTATGACATACCTATAGGCAGGAAAATAGCAATTATCCTTAAATTTTCACCTCTATATATTGACATTCATATAGTCTTTTTATATCAAGGATATGTGATTTTCAAAAGGTTAGTTATATTTGTACTCCTACATCTGCCTCTCATACTCCAGCCTACTCACTCAATAAATGCTACCAAAATGTGTGAGGGACCAGTCTATGTGAATGTCACTTTCTTTTTCAAAACCATAATCCTCTGACGCTATGATAGTCTTTGCAGTCCGTGGACAGGGCCATATAAGTTTCATTTCTGATTAGTTTACCCTTGAGTATAACAGAATTGAAAAATAGTGTAACAAAAATTTAGATATGATGTAACTAGGTAAAAATTTTGCGTGTATTAAAAGTTGAAATGACCATTTACCTTGACATGGAGTAAAATGGATAACTTGTGAGGCCTGCATCCACAATAGGTAACACTTTTTTTTTTTGGTTATTCGTCACTTATCAATCCTACTTCTACTCGTATTGTAAGGTTCAACTAAGCCTACAGGGAATCAACCCTACTTCTACTCGTGTTTGAGAAAATCACATATTGTGACAAATAATGAAAGTTAAAATTTGAACTCTTGATTTCCCACCCTTAAAGTCTCTGGTAATGGCCAGCAGTCTAAATAGATGTTGGTTAATACTTTCATGTAATTGATAGTTTTTTACAGTTACCTTACAGTACTAACCATGATAAAAGCAGCGTCAGCATTTGGAACGCTGTGAAACATGTCGCCTCCAACATGCTCCACGCCATCAGAACGAGGGGCAACAGAGACAACATGAGGAAGATCAAAATTGATCCCGCGGATCCAAGGGCAAGCCTTGAGCAATGTCCGGAGAGCCGTTCCGTCGCCTCCGCCGACATCCACCAACGAAGAAATCCCCTCGAACACCTGCGGACACCCGTTGATCATGGCCGAAACTGCAACCCGAGCATCGCAAGCCATGGCATCGTTGATCAGCTTGCTGTGAGCAGGATTGTTTTGCGCGTAACTCCATACGTCCTGGCCGTGATAAGTGTCAAATGGAGGAGGGCTATTTGCCAAGACACGTCGCCCCAAGCCAAGCCACGGCGAAAGCATCACAGGGCTGCTTTCCAGTAGCACAATAGCAGCCATGCTTTTCTCTCCATTTCTAGCCAGAAGACGAGAGAGGGGCGTCTGTACATAGGTAATACTGCTACAAGCAATAGCATTGCTAGTACTATTTTGTGAGGAGCAGCCAAGTCCTTGATTAACTTGTCTAAAGATGCCGCGGTTGGTTAAGAACCTCATGATTCGGTAAAGGGAAGAAGGCGAGCAACCAAGGGCGGCAGACAGCCCATCAAGTGTCATGGCTTGGCCATCCTGGCCTTCCAGGAAGTCTGGAATCCCAAGCTCAATTGCACATTTCACGACAGCCATTTCAGTAAAGCCGAAAACGTATTTCCATATATCCACTTGAGCCTGAGCCTCTTCCTCTGCTTCTTTTTTTATTTTCTCTTCCACCATCTCTCGACTTCTTGATTCCTAATTCTTCTTTGCTTTTTTGTTTCCCAGGATTCAGTACTAATCAACTGTCTCTATATACTATTATCAGGACTAGTATAACAGCAAAGAAATCAGTAGCCAGCCTACTGCT